GACGCTCTGTCCCTTCTTTGACCCAGGCATTGTTGAACTTGACCCAATTCCAAAAAAGTTCCAGATATTGCTTTTTCAAAGAGGACTTGACCGGCACCAGGAAAAATGAACGGTGACTATTTAAACTGTCACCAACTCTCTGAATCCGTCATAAGCTGTTTCCATCTGATGTCTGGGTTTTTTGTTAATGCGAAGACAATATTTCTATATCTCTTTATGTGCTACATAAACAGACTTTATAGCAGACTGTTCCTACTGACTCTAATGTCAGAAAGAACAACCAAACTGTAAATTCATTATACATTAAATTGTGTGTAATTTATATAATAACTTATCCATGCCTGTACAATTGGTATGTTCCTGCATAAACAGGAAGAAATATATATATAATCGTTAGAAACTGTCACACACGTCTCGTAAACCGTCAATGCCCAGCTCTTACTACGCTGGGACTCACGCTGTTCCTTGAGGTTTCTCAGAAACCCATAGTAATAACGGACGCAAAACCAAAACACCGATTGGCTACTCGATAATTATTTATTGTAACACCAACATATAGCCAACTTTAAAATTAAGCTTTAAACTAAGGTCTATGAGGGAGGGTGGCGTTAGCTGGTCAGTAGATATGGTGGTGGCCAACAAGGTGAATCGCCCCATTCTGCGGGAACAGAAATATGCAATTTGACGGGTCGAGATTTTTCCGATTTTTATGAGGGCTTAGATCTTTATCTTGAAAAATATAACAATGAACGCCTAAACAGATCATGCTTCTTCCTTTAAATATATACCATTCACTCAGCCTATTGTTGAGATGCGACCATGTGGACTCTGCACAGATTTATGGGGCATCTTATAAATTAACTTGCTGTCCATTGTCGGGTCTTTAAATACCACTTCACAATGTCTTATCTCATTCATTTTCCAATAACGTCTTTACTTGATCCTCATTATATCCCATTAAACCTAACATTTTATAGCTTTTTATGAATTTGATTCGACTTATTCTATTCCTATTCTCTGTAGGGTACGGTTGTGCACCGAATGCACAAAAAGGTATAAAATAAAAAAAACCGGCATGAGGAAAAAATGTATTAAAACCAAAAGTGGACATCACGATAGTGCAAACCGTACAGGAAGCATTATGCATTGCAAATGAACGTTGTCAGCCTAGGGAGTTTCCTCTATTAATGCATTTATTAGTGATGCGCTGAGGTTGTTAGACTCAATGTCAGCTGCCTATACAGCAATGTGGGGGGGCTGAGAGGAAAATTAGGTGAACTCTGAAATCTCGAAGCACACCTACAACTGAAAATGATCATTCTCACTGAAACGTGGCTAAACCCCACTATCGCCGTCATTGAAATCAGTATAGGTGATATGGTTCTGGTCACGAGAGACAGGGATAATAAGGAAGGAGGGGGAGTTGCTATATACTTTGATAGGCAACTTAAATGTGTGCGCGCAACGGACTCACCACTTATTGAACTCCCAGACTCCATATGGTGTCATTTCACCGTAGGCCACACCAAGCACTTACTGGGTGGCATCTACCGATCTCCCACCTGTGGGGAGAGCACAATCAGCTACTGCTCAGCACTATCACAGGAATACAAGATTTGGGCTACGACCAAATCACCATAGCTGGAGATTTCATTGCCCCATCACTGTACCTTGGCTCGAAGTGTGCTAAGGGAAAATTTGGCCGAAACCTACTGCAAACTATTCAAAACACGGGACTGACTGAGAATGTTGGAGACGACACTGGGTGGGGCCCTGGTGGAAATTCATCAAAACTAGACTATATTCTAACTAGTGACCAACTACCCGTCGAAAAGGTCCAGATCATGACTCTTCTAGGAAGTAGTAACCATGCAGTCATAGGTTTCGATCTTGTTCTCTGTGAGCGTTTGCAGTGGGATGTCGCGTGACCATGTATGTGTTGCAGCAAGGCTGACTATGCTGAAATGCGGAGGCTCTTGTCCAACACAGACTGACCCTTAGCATGGGACGACCTATCTGTGGATGAACACTGGGAAGTGGTAAAACGATTCATAGAGCGATCTCTAATACCGTCCCTTTGGTCACAACACAGCCCAAAAGAAAGTCATCATGGTTGGAAATAGGCACGCAACGTATTCTGCAAGCAAAGCGGAAGGCTTGGTTTACGTGGCGTGTATCTAAGAGTCAGACAGACCACGATGTATACCTCGAAATCAGGAACCGGTGCGATACAAGAGTCAGGAGGGGCAGGAGGTCATTCCAGTCCAACCTTGCTGAAAAACTCCTAGCAAACCCCCAAAACTTGTACCGATTCATGCTGGAAAGAGAACCAACAAACCAGGGGGCATATGCATTAGTAGGGCCAAACGGTCAATATCTCAATAGTCTGGAAGTGGCTGAAACATTCAGTTCAACCTTCGCCAAACAGCTAAACGGCAATGTGGGTATTACAGTTACGGACCAAAATGGTGTCACTGCTATTTCACAGGAGGAAGACCTAGCGGCTACTCCCCAAATAAACCCGGTAATAGTACTGAGGAAGCTACAGCGACTCACACCTGGGAGGTCCCCAGGATGTGACGACATTAGGCCATCTGTTCTGAAACAGTGCACTGAAGCTCTCCGTAGGTCCTTATGCGACTCCTTCCGACACTCAATGGATTCAGGGAAACTACCAAGGGAGTGGAAAACAGCCATCCTTTCTCCAGTCTTCAAGGGTATGGATAGGTGAAATGCCGCTAGTTATGGACCAGTAGCCCTACATTCAGTGGCATTAAAAGTACTGGAAAGTATTACTGACGATCAAATCAGGGAATATGTCGATAGGTCTAATATACTGCATGAAGCCCAGCACGGTTTCAGGAAAGGCAGATCCTACGTTACTAACCTACTATCAGCTTGGGACGATTAGACATCATGCTTGGATATCAATGTTCCTGTCCATGTGGTCTTCCTGGGCTTTGAGAAGGCATTTGACACTGTTCACCATGACTTTCTCCTACACAAAATAAGCCAGGCAGGTATAGGTGAGGCACTTCTGTCATGATTAGAGGACTACCTATCTGAAACGCAATTTCGCACTAAGGTCAGTCGAGTCCGATCATCTTGGCACAGCTCGTCATCAGGAGTGTCGCAATGTTCCATCCCAGAACCAGTGATGTTTTCGATTTTTATCAATTGCCTACGATGCCGTCTAAGCTGCCCGACTCTTCTATACGCTGACGACGTACAGATATGGGGGGCGATAAAGTGTCTGGAGGACTCAGATAGGCTACAGGAAGACCTAAACCTTCTGGAAGACTGTGCGGTGGCCACTGGCATGACTTTCAACCTGAAAAAGTGCAAAGTAGTGAAGTTGCGCACCTGTAGACTGCAGAATGCAAGTCACAATCTGTGCAGTGAAAGCTTGTCCTGCACAACGTCGGAACGCGACTTAGGTCTAGTTCTAACGGAAAATGGAGACAAGCGTAAATTACACAGGGCATTTAGCGAGGGCATATGCGGTCATACACTTTACACATAGACAGCTAGGTGCACTCACTCCTGAGCTCTTTCTAAGATTGTACAACACATACGTCAGAGCATACCTTGAGGTGCATAATATTATTGCACCTCCAATGCTTAGAAGAGATGCTAACCTATTGGAAAGAGTTCAACGACGAGCAACAAAAGGAGCGGTTGGTCTCCGAAACAAACCATATGATAAAAGGCCGAAGAAATTAGGCCTGTTCACACTTAGCTACTGACGTCTTAAGGGGGAGTCCCCCAAACAAAGGTGTTCTGCCATTGAGTAGGTTCAGGCTACCTCGTGGAAATCCCAGAAGGATAGCCCACCATAGGGAAAAGACCCGGGTGCGCTCCCACTTCTTTTCACTGAGGGTTTGCCGTCCCTGGAATTCCTTACCTCCAGATGTAGCTATGGCACCGTCTTTGGACTCCTTTAAGCGAAGGCTGGACAACCATGCAGCGACACAAGGACTGCATCCAAATAGCCTATCCCCTTAAAATCGCATACACCATTAAGGGTAGATGATTAAACTTGTCGTTTTACTTCTTTAAATTCTCTCCCGTCTTATCCTCCTGACAACTTTAACTACACTTGTTATTATTATTATCATTATACCGATATATATATATATATATATATATATATATATATATATATATATAATTCATATTATTCCTCAAATTTAATCAGCTGACTGTTGTTACGTTTTCCTATTTCCTTTTATGTCTGTTAGTCTGAATAACTTCACTAATTATATCTATTATTGTTATCTCTTTTGTCTTGTCGACAATACCGGAGGACTAACTGGCGAAAGGATCAACTCCAATCACAGTAGTAACAGTCTTAACACACATACTACAAACCATATATAATTAATCCCAGCACTACTCCCTTTGGAGTCAACCAAAGCTACGACGGGCGAGTGGTGTGACGAGCTACGCAGAAGTTTACCGAGGATCAGGAACCTATACCTTACAACCAAGAAGCGAGCACAAAGAAATCAAATTGGTTTATACTAGCTCGTAAAAACGATATTGGATATTGGATTGGTCAACGACTAGAGCTCCTTACCTGATTCACTTGTATCATCTCCATCGGTGAACGCTTTCAAAGAGAAGTTAGATCTCTGCAGAAATATATTTTGCAAGGATTAAGACGTACCCCAAGAGCCTTCTATCCTTATAATCTGAATCTGAAAGTCATACCACTGGCCACCGCCCGTCGTTGGCAGCTTTTTATGGATACTGTTAGGATAACTTGTCGGTACATTGTACAGCCATGCCATTGATTATTTATGAACTTAATAACTGGAATATCAATTCCTTAAGCAAGCACCAAAATGTTATCACTTAGTTTTCTTTAAATGTATAAACATCGCAGGTCAATTTAAGAGATTTTAGTCGTTTGTTTCAAATCGAGTTTTAATAACCGTTTGTATTTCACGCTTATTGATCAGAAAGATCTATTATAGGACTTTTAATTATACACACGGATGAAAAGCATTCTGAAAAATAAGAGCACAAATAGTAAGTCACTGACTACTTTCAACTTGAGAACATGTTATTATAAATTTAAATATTTTATATGCCTTTTAGTTTCGTATGTATTAATTAAATGGGTGCCTATCGATATTCAGTTTTTGTAAATGTGATTTTGTGTGGGCCGGAGTAGAGTTTGTGCAACAAACATTTTTTTTCGTTGTCTCTCCATTAAGCATTATTGCGTTTACATTATGTCAGCTACAGGTATTACGAGTTATCCATCACAATACTATTTTTGTTCTGTATCTAGTATTTTAAACGTACTCATTGAAGAATTAGGATCCCTTAAGTGTGCTTTGGAAACTGTGAAGTTTTTTGAGTTTTGGGAGTAGTAAACCGCACACCTCGGAGGGTACTGGGACTTCTCTACCTAACCAGGATAATAATTACTGAACACACGAAGATATAATATGTCTTCCCTTACAGTAAAAAATAAGGTTCATCTAGGTCTATTAAAACTAGGTTTTTAATAGCTTATATAAAAATTACTGTAAAATATTTAGGATTTCTGAATACAACTGTTTGAAAATTCGGCCAATTTTGATTTTTTTATCTGTAATTTGTAATGCTTTATTGTGGCCTAAGTTCTCTTAAAATCTGATTTCTTGAGAACTGTGTATGAAGTCTTTTGCTCATTAGAGTGCACTATGCATTGAAATAAAGAACGCCGAGATGGAAACCCAAATCGATACTTTTTATCAGGTTGTATTTTCATAATCTTGTTGCTTCTACTTGTTTACTCCTTATGATGATAGCTTTGGTGTGGATACCAAACGTGGTATGTTCTGTGTGTGATCATAAATATTGATTCTATAAACAGTCATTTTGTCCAAACCCTCATATGGTTTTGGTTCGAATTCCAGTACGCACCATCCTAAGCCTAACCTAGTCTTCTTTTTTTATTCCTTCACGTTCCCAGTGAAATGTAGGGCTACTTCATATAGAGGCTTAAATTTTCGGTAGCAGTGTTGTTTATTTTTACAGGATGGGGTTGCTAGCCTCATGCCCAACCTTTCCTCTTTACCAGCATTATTTCTGGCTTAGCGAGGTAAAGGAGTGCGTTGGCTGCTGGGGATAGAACCCCAGACCATGTAAATGATCGGCGAGCGTCCTAAGCGCTGTGCCACCGATGCACCAACCTAGTCTACTAAAAGAGAGAAAACGCGGGGAGGAATGAAGTTTGGGTATGGTTCTAGCAACCTGGTGCCATATTAGCAACACCAACTCTATTGCAACTTCAAAATTTAAAGCCCTACTTTTCACCAGGTACACAGCGAGGTGTTTTTTAATCGGTTATCCTGCAGTTTGTTGATGATCGCTCAAAATCATTTCCTCTGTTCAGAATTGTGCCTGATCAGATAAAAATGAAGTTATTACTCAAGCTGACATCAGCAAAGTGGAACTTTAAAGAAAATGCGTAAAGAAATGAAAGAAATAAGGCAGATGTTTACTGATATCTACGTTTTAGAGACTGTGTTTGGCACGAAAATATAGACTGGAAGTTACTGTTAATTTGATTACCACTAAGTTTTTCAACAGAATCCTTCTAAAGTTAAGAGATTGCATGACTCAAAAGTTGGTCCACAATGCACAACACATCATAGCTATTTACATAAGTAAGTATTCATATTTCTCCCAGTAAGGGAATGCATATGGGTGAAGTGGGTGAAACTTGAGCAAATTTGGGTAGAAGGTGACACTGAAACCCACTTTTTTCACGTTTCTCACGATTCCATCCCGTTTCCTCAATTTTTATCAAGTTCCTAGCGAACTAATTCCTTACTTTTTCACACTAATACCACACGTTGTATGCGGTTTCTGTCATGCGCCTCCCCATCCCGGTTCATAAAATACCTCGCTTATGTCCCCTTTGACGACTTTTTATAACGAAATGAATAGCTTTTGTTAGCCCAAAACTTGAAAAAATTAGATTGTGAAAAGTTATACTTTATTCGATGTGAGTTTATAAAAAATGTTGGAAATTTCGGATTGTAGACACGAGTGGTTCGATGGAGTCACCATTAAGCCTTAAGTTATGCTGCTGCAAATCCTCCACCCGTAATGGTTATCACAGAGTAAATAAAACAGTTCGAAACTAGCTCAAAACACGTAAAAATTATAACGATGCCTATTTATTTTCTGCATTTCGATTAGAAAACCAGGCCTCAGAGACATACCTCCATTGCACTTGGTCCTATAATTTCATTTTCAGCTACCTCGGCAACTACCTACAAGCATTCATTTCCTCCTCATGTGATCTCAAGGTCACCGTTCGGCTTATGCTCAACTCGTTCCTTACCATTCGGGCCACACTCGAGGGCGTGGTGTGTGTTGTCGCCCGACAGATAGTGATTATGCGTAATTAAAGTGACGCACACACTTTAATGATTCATTTTGTCATACTAATGAAGCATTGGAGTTTTCCCTAAGTCTTACTGTCCTTGAACGCTTTGTTGAATCTATTATTTATCTTGTTATTACTCAGTAATATCTTATACCACCTTACCAGCATTGTTAAGGATGAATAAGGAAGGCGTCGTCTGAAGTAAGTCAAAAAATCATGATTTATAAGTGACCTCTAAGTAATTCTTAAGATAAGGATGAGAGATTAATGCATCTAACCCACAGTGGTTAGGACTCTCACCGACTATGCCCATGTTCTGAGGTTCGATTCCCTGCCGACGCACACCTGATATCTATGGTCGGCCTGGAAAATTTGGGCTACCGATATCCATTCTGAAAATTCCATACTTGTACCAAAAATACAGTGTAGAATCAAGCTGTAATCAAAAATAAAATTAAAATGTGAATTCCTTCATAACTTCGATAGTTTGAGAGCGGATTGTTTTCTCAGAATAACCGATTGTTGAAGCTACAATAGTCACATAGAATACTGCATTTATGGTTTCAGCGTGCATGCTTTGTCAAATCTTTTGCTTACCCTAGCTCCTATTCTGTGCGATAGAGCATTAGGCGTGAAACTTATAACTTATTAAATAGTCAGTAGAACAATTGGATCTCGTCTTTCCAACTCATATCATTTATAGGTACAACGTTTTCTTCCTTTCTTTTCCTTTTTTTCTGTTATGTGGTGCTTTGTTTCTCTCCTCCTTACAAACTCTACTTAAAACATTCTTCTTCGTTCTTTCACACTCCGTATATCTCGACCTTTTTAGTTACCTTTTAGTTACCGTCTACGCCAGTAAATATGCTAGTATCTACTTTTCTAACACCTTCAAACATTCTGTTCACTTTTGGCTTTGTTACTGACATGCCAATATTTCGTTGTCAAAACTAACTGAGATTACCCATAATCTATGTAGAATTTTATTTATTGTTAATGTACTAACTGGATGCAATACTGTAGTGAAATGCTGAGAATTCCATTCTGTACCACAAGTACTGTTTTGGAATAAAGCAAATTATTATTATTTTACTGTTGTAAATGCTGCAAAAAGGGTTTACGCAACCTCCTAGAGTTACGTTAAAAGACAGGTAACTGAGCTCTTTGACCACAGATGTACTGGTCTCACCTTTATATCAGATTAAGTGGCGTGAATGACAGGTGATCTGTTTATTGTTCTACATTTTGTGGCGTCTTTAACGCTGGTCAGATTCATAGGATAAGTGTATTATCCAGTCATCCTTTCTTTCCCACTTTACAACTACGAGATTTCACCGTGACAGGTGTGTGTGTGTGTTTGTTGATGCCTTCTTTACACTGGTTATGAACGATTTTATGCTTGAAGGCAGTGTCATGTGATCTACAGTAATCGGTCGATGAATAGGTGAATTTTCACTCACTATGTATTGATTCATGTATTCATTGTGTAAAATCTTAAAGCAAGACCTTTTTAACATACCGACATGTTTCCATGCTTTTAGTGCTTTTTTAGTGCTTGCTATATCATACTAACTACAGTGACAAGTGTTTATTTTTTTCATCAAAATTCTTCCGACTTTCATGTCACGTGTTTTGACATTGTAATACTTTAACGGTAGAACACGGTGATATTTGCTGACAGAATGGTTTTTGTTTGTAAGGATTTTATTTGTTTTACAAGTTTGATTGAAGATTGTGACAGCAGTTAGAGAAACACTGTTTCGTTAGCATGGTTTGAGAATCATCGGCACCAACTGGGTTCTGAATCCAGGACTTTCAGAGTCGGGTACAAATGGCTGAATGGTCTATGACCTGGCCTTGAAACTGAAAGGTAGTGGGACCGAACCCCTCAGCATGGGTGCGTACTGACGACTGACGAAACAGCTGTACAATACTCCCTACTGGTTTTCCAATAGTTCTTCAATCGATGTCAGCTCATGATAAAATCCCTGCAACATATTATTTCATCCAATGGGAACTCTTCCCTTACTTTATGGTGTTGGGAAGAATTGAAAACATGTCGTTGTCTGTCTATTGACAGTGTTCTCTTCATAATCTGTTGCCTACACATTTATATACTTTTCAAGTGTTAATTTGTAAGGATCTGATTGGTTCCACATTTGATCACGGATTGATATCAGTCTGCGGTGTTTCAACAATACTCACCCCTAACCCAAACTGGGGATCGCAAAGAGACAGGCGTGGATCGGATTATATCCTAGTGGCTAAACGGTTTATGAGCTCACTTCCTAACTTGAAGGTACTCTGTTAGATTGCCAATGGGGTGGTAGGTATGTGGTGATGAAGAGTCCCAAACTAGGACGAAACGACTGTCCAGTACCCCTGTCTGGTTTCTAGCGATTAAACTAGTGTGTGTGTGTGTCTGTAAACATTCTGTTGACTGCGAAATGGATTACGTCATAGACAGTCACCAACTATACAGCCACTGAGGCTCATTGAGCACCTCCTTAGATTCATTTATGCCAGATGGATAGATCCTAGGACTGTAATGGTTAAGAAGTTAGCATACCATCACGAGTATATAGCCAATGACAATAAGATCCCCAACTTTTGAGAACTCATGGTATGGACTTATTGCCAC